TCAGCTCGAGGTCTGTAGTTGGGGTGTCGACCTCCAGCAGAAAGAGATTCATATCGAATCCCCCTCTGACTCCATATGAGGAAAGATTGACCTCGAGCTGAATCTCTTTCAGCTCGAGGTCTGTGGTGGGTGTATCAACCTCGAGCTGAAAGTGATTCAGCTCGAGGTTGCCTGTGATTCTGTATGAACTTGGATCAACCTCGAGCTGAATCGTTCTCGGCTCGAGGTCGGTGGTAGCAGGGTGAGGGAAAGGAATTGGACCTCAAGCTGAAGGAGACTCAGCTCGAGGTCGGTCCCTCGGTAAACTGATTCTGATGGACAGACCTCGAGCTGAATCGTTTTCAGCTCGAGGTCAGTCTGGTGGTAGTCTGGTGGTGGAGGCAAATGAGATTCACCTCGAGCCGAAGAAGACTCAGCTCGAGGTCCCTTGAGAATACGATTCTGAGGGAGAGACCTCGAGCTGAATCATGTTCAGCTCGAGGTCGTGGGTGAGGCAAATGGGATTGACCTCGAGCTGAAGAAGACTCAGCTCGGGTCCCTTGAGAATATTATTGTGAGGGAGAGACCTCGAGCTGAATTGTTTTCAGCTCGAGGTCGTGGGGTGAGGCAAAGGACACAGATCTCGATGCATGATGGATGGACCTCGAGCTGAATTGTCTTCAGCTCAAGGTCAGGGCGGGACAAGACATGCGCGTTCAACTTCGAGCTGAAGAAAACTCAGCTCGAGGTCCGTTGGTCTTGTTATCGATGAGGGATAGACTAGACCTCGAGCTGTATTGCTTTCAGCTCGAGGTGGGTGGTGAGGGGGGTTGGGGGGCTTGTGTTTGGGCAAGCAGGGGGTTAGATTGGGGGTTGTGCCCACCAAGGTGAGTCCGCGGCAGCTTGGCTATTTACACATCATCCAAGTCCACCGAACCCACCCCCAAACTCACCCTGGTTCCGATCCCATCAAGCTTTACACCTCACTTCGACACGAGTTAACGACGCTTAGCAGTGATTTCGATTGGTCAGTCAGTACTCTTTTTGGTTTCTGTTTGGCTCGAAGGTATTGATGGTTTCTGTTTGGACTCGATTTTGGCCCGGGTATTCGTTTTTGGTTTCCTCTCATCCCGCTGTTCTGCCATCATTCTTGCCATCATCGAAATCAGCTAATTGTTTGTTTTAATGATTTTTTTAGTCTCCCATTTCTGTAGTACGATCGTTTGAACGGCTTATTTGGATTTGCACATAGAAAGAAGACGGCCACCAGCCCACTGACCTTACCTTGAATTGATTCACTTCCGAACGTGAATCAGGACTTTCCTCGTTCTGGAGGTTGCTAAATACAACAGACCACTAGCAAACGGCGGGCCTCCTGTTTGCACCTCAGAGAGTATGTTCGTGATATTTTCGTTCGCCCTCTATAACATTCTCACGCCAATCGTTTCTGATTGGCTGGATTAGTTGGTGCTTCATTTAGTTAATCCTCATTGATCGCTCGATTTAGTTTTGACCTTGGACAAAAACGATCTGCTTGCGTGGTTTCCTAGTCTGGCGGTGAGTGCTGTCTATGTTGCCTACATATTGGATATCAACCTCGTGTTGAGACAAAGCCCCCCCTGGTTTGCCATGATTCGCTGATGACTTGTGTTGGACACAGGATTGCCATCGTCGATATTGGTCTATTTGTAGTGTAGTCCCGAGATCGGTAATCTTCTAGTGCGGTCCTGAAGGTTGCTCAATATTCGTTTGATCTCGCTGGAGAACGATCTCAAGTAATGTGATGAATCTGACATGTCTGTGTCTATTTTTTAGGCTGCCTGTCCTCACAGAATTATCATCAAATCGGGATAACCACCTCATCGCAGAGCGATACAGAACAGGATAGTGTCTATTTTTTAGTTTGCTGCTGTCCTCACAGAATCATCGTCGAATCGGGATAACGACCTCGTCGCAAAGGGAGATAGAACTGGATAGTATTGGTTGTAAGCTGGTTATTTTGATTTTTCTTGATTGAGTCTATTGTGTTATTTTGAAGTTTGTTGTGGCGCTGACAACGACATGAACTGGGTAGACTGCTTTCATTTTTTCATAGAGGCTACTGCCTGCGTATTTGTTACCTCAAATCAGGTCGGTTAGAACTAGGTAAGCTGGTTAATTCAAATTTTTGTTATCGATTCTATTGTTGGTTGAATGGGTAGCTATTTGGGCAATGACCGCAGTATTAACTGGTTAAACTTCTCTTTTTTTGGTACAAGACCGACTGTCAGTGGATTTCTGAACTCAAAACGGGTTGGGGAGAACTAGCAAACCGATATCGTTGTTTTGACCTCCCTTGATTGCGAGGTCTAGGGGGGAGTTTGGATTGGACGATCAAAGGATTCAGTTTTGCTTGGGGACTCTCACTCTGCTATCACAAGGTCCGGGTGTGTTTACAACAAGATTGAAGTGCTGTGAGTGCGTCCTCTGGGTATCAGCTGTAAAAAAAACATGGCATGTGAGAATTATCAGGCTAATGAACTGGGTGGTTTCTATCAGTTTGACACATTTCTGCATATATCTTCCTTTTATTTTCTGTAGAATACTGTGCCTGTTGGTCTGGTCTTGTTAGTAGTGATGATTTGGGTTTGAGAGGAGTTGGTAATTTCTTTTGGGCGGTGTGCGACTTTGTTGTTTACACATCACTTGTGAGCTACTACAGACTGCATTCTCAGTGAGTAACAGCTGTGATCATGTCAACCTGGGTTAACTTTGGTGACGCCCAGGTCTGGTACATTTGCTTTATCTGTAAATGAATAGAATCTCTTTGCCACCCTCATACTTGAAGCTCAGTGAGTGCCCTTTTCCATGGTGAGGTAAAGGTGGACAATGTGATTACTTATCACTTAAATTTCAAAATTGGTGTGACATACAGGAAACAAAAATTTTGTTGAGTACCTCCTTCCACCTTGAGGTCATGAAGGAACTTGTTTATTGATTCTTTGTACTTGAAGGTGTTGCTGACTTGCTTTGGGTGTTTCATTAAATGACCTTTTTGTTCCCCTGTGACTTCACTTGGGTTGTTTGACAATGCCCTGTTGGGCCTGTCTTGCTGTCCCGCAGATTCACCCACAGGAAACAGCAATTTCAGTGAGTACCTCATTTCAGGTTGAGCTCAAGGGGGAGATCCTGGTTTGATCTCTTGTGATGTCTGTTGGAATGATACAGACTTGTCTACTGTGCTCTATGGAATTACCCCTCTTCAGGTACTGCCTCCTGGCCATCAAGCTCTTGTTCATATAAGGGCCTGTTGCCAACTGTGGTGCTTTTCTTTAAGGTAATCCAAAGTGAATAAGAATTTCAGTGAGTACCTCGCTTGAGCTTGAGATCAAGTGACAAATTCTGATTTGGGTTAACTTGGATTTTGTGGAAGTTTGACTGACCGAGCTTGGTTGTCGGTATAAGGGACACCTTTCTGGGCCTGTTTTGTCAACACCAAGCCTCACCTTTGGTAAGTACCTTCTTTCATCACTAGGTCAAGGGTGAAATCTGGCTGTCAATTGCCCCTGACTGGGCTTCTCTTGTTTTGCCCTGTAGTGTCATCCTGAGGAAACATCTAACTTGGTGAGTACCTCCTTTGAGCTTGAGGTCAAGTGATAAATTCTGCTATTGTTTCTTGGTAATTTTGGAGGATTTGGTACTGACTGGAATTTTCTTTTCTATATAAAGGCCACCTACGGCCCTGTTGCTTCACCTGCAAGCCTGTATTTCTGTGAGTTAGGGTTAAATCTGGCTCTGTATAATCACCCACAGGAACCGTCAATCTCCGTGAGTACCTCCCTTCAACTTGAGGTCAAGTAAAAAATTCTGGTTTGTTTTCTGTGTAATTTTGGTGGATTTGTTGCTGACTGGACCTCCCTTGGCTATATAAAGACCCCTTTGCTCCCCCCTGTAGAGTCACCCACAGGAACCATCAATCACCGTGAGTACCTCCCTTCAACTTGAGGTCAAGTGAAAAAATCTGGTTTGTTTTCTGTGTAATTTTGGTGGATTTGTTGCTGACTGGACCTCCCTTGGCTATATAAAGACCTCCTTTTTCTCCCCCGTAGAGTCACCAGGAACCATCAATCTGAGTGAGTACCTCCCTTCAACTTGAGGTCAAGTGGTCATTTGTGCTTTGGTTTCTATGTAATTTTGGAGGGATTGTTGCTGACTGGACCTCCACTTGCTATATAAAGACCTCCTTGTTCTCCCCTGTACAGTCACCCACAGGAATCATCAATCACTGTGAGTACCTCCCCTCAGCTCGAGGTCAAGTAATAATTTCTTGTTTTTTTTTCTGTGTAATTTTGGAGGATTTGTTGTTGACTGGACCTCCCTTGGCTATATAAAGACCCCTTTGCTCCCCCCCTGTAGAGTCACCCACAGGAACCATCAATCACTGTGAGTACCTCCCTTCAGCTTGAGGTCAAGTGGTCAATTCTGCTTTGGTTTATTTGCAATTTTGGGGGGTTTGCTGCTGACTGCACCTCTTTTGTCTATATAAAGGCCTTCTACACCCCTGTTGCTTTACTGGGAAACCTCCTTTTCAGTGAGTACCTCCCTTCATCACTAGGTCAAGGCAGGGGCTCTGCTTGCACTTTCTCAATTTCTTTGGCCTGGTTTCGCTGATTCTGTCTGTGCTGTTTGCTACATTCTTCTCACAGTCTCTGCAAATATCTCTGTCCCCATATCTTGAATAGTCTCTTCTGTGTGCTCTATTGAATTATCTTTTTTTTTGTAAGTGTTTGCCTGGTCTTTCATTTTTCATGGGTGACCTCCCTTGGGCCTGAGGTGAGGTGTGGATTTGGATTTGGACTAACTGTTGATGTTGGCTGTTATTTCATATGAACAGATATTGTCAACAACTCTCTCCTTCCCCTCTTGGAAGACCTTTATTCTGGTAAGTAGCTCCCTTTCACTTGAGGTCTATGTGGGGTTGGCACTTTGCTCAAGATCAAAGTACTTTATTATCATATGTTTTTGGTAGTTACAACTCAACAATGGTATCAACAAACACCGCCGATGGATTCACGGTCCCTAGCCCGAGGAGATCTGCTCGTTTGGCGACCGTGGAGCCTTTGAGTCCACAAAAGAAGAAGCCGATGAGTCCTACTGAGAAGAGAGCTCACGACTTGAGGAACACACCTTGCGAGGACATGGAGTTGGACGTGGACGTTGCGGACAAGGAGAATACGGCTGCGGTTGGGACGAACAATAGTGCAGCTCGTGAGATGGACTTGGATGGACCTACTCAAAACGTAAGCCGGTTTTTTTTGGCTCATTGAATGAGATTTCTGGGCTCATTCAGTGGCTGCTCATCATCTTTCTCTCCAGCTGTCTGGGCAGGTTGGTCTCACCAACTTCCTGGGTGTAGGCACCCAGGAGGCCTGTGAATTAGAGTTTGGGGATATCTCACCCTCAGACTTGAGTGCAGAGCACCTGGGCATCCTGGCTCAGATGGTCCATGTGAACAACCAAATTCATATCTCCCTTTCTGCTGGTTCTTCTTTGCAGTCATCGACCCCGCTGCAACCGGGCTCTCCTCCGAAGACTCCCACTTTGCCGAAACAACCTAAGAGTCCCAAGAAGAGCAAGGGGAAACAGAAGGAAACGTCGCCGGCCCCTAGCGTAGAAAATAGCATTGGGTTCAGCCCTCTGTCTGAGTCTCACACTGACCAGCTGCCGGTGACCTCAACTCCGGCCGCTCACACTGGCAAGGTCATGGGATTCGACTTCAGCACCCTTGGCCAGTCAAAGAAGGCACTGCCCAGCGACTTGGAGGCTCTCGTCAACAAACTGGTCCCGATGGAAACGTCTACAAAGGTCACTGGCTCCATCAACAAGGAGGCTGCTCCAGTTGAGTCAAACTCCGCTCGTCATCCGCCAGCCCCAGTAACTCGAAAAAAACAAGTCGACTTGTTTATGCCTAAATTCCTCTCAAATCAGGTCCGCCACAATCTTCCGTCAAAAACTCAGACGTTGGCTCAATTGGACCGTGAAATGAAAACGATGCAACTTCCAGACGAGGCAGCAATGGCTTTGATGAATGTGAAGGAACTCCAAAAGATGAAGGAATCTTGTAAGTGTCTATTCATTGGCTACAATCTGGTAGAAGAGCACACATCTGACTTGTCCCTGGAATTGCTCTGTAAACAGTAAAAAAGGTCGCCGACGCACAATTACTTGCTTTCAAGGAAATGAAGAGTGCTAGTGGAATGGTAGCTTTCCCTGGGGTGCTAGACGGTTTGATGAAGAACGCTCGGTACATCACACGCTTCATGAACCATCTCGAGGATAAGGTATTAGAGGCATCACGCGACGGAAGACAGGAAATTGAGGTCATTGAAATCTCAGACGGTGAGGGTGAAGAAGTGAGCATCATGCCACGTAGAAGGTCGGTTGCAGAACTCAAGGACTTCATGAGGCCGGGATTGGTTCGATTGCCATCACATCTCAATCCTCCAACAAAAAGATCCGGTAGGTTGATTTGGGTTATCGGGTCTTATGTTCTTGTGCAGCTACCTGACCACACTCCTTTCTCATCTGATTCAGCCTCATCAAGCTCGCTCAGTCAGAACATGAATAAGCGGGCTAAGTCTCAAGATAGTAGGTTTTTGTCTTGCCTCTCTGACATCTCTGTCTCTCTTTCTTAATTCTAACTCAGTCCTCTTGGCTTCAGACTTGTCAAGCACTGGGAACTCGTACCTGGCGGACTTGGTGCCCCAGTTTGAACCTGGGGCTCAGAAAACGGTGACCCAATTGGAAATGGAACGTCGCGAATTGGCTGCAATTCAAGAGCAGGAAATCATCCAGGAATCCAACGCTTCGACTCCGCCGCCCTACAACAATTCAGCTAAGGGATTCGCTGATCCTTTAGCTGCAGCAAAGGCAGCTTTGCACAGGGACAGAAGGAGGGCTGCTGCTGAGGCTGCTCTGGCAGCTGATCTCGCGGAAGCTGCTTCGATTCCACCGCCACCAGTTCCGGCATCCACTTTGACAACTAATTCTGCCACAGTCCCTGCTTCTGGACCAGCTCAATCTGTCGCACCAATTCCAGCTAGTTCTCAGTCTGCTCCACCGGCCGCTGCCTCTGCCTCTCAATCCACAGATGCTCCAAGGGGCCCAGCCCAGTCCACTGCACCAACCCCTGCCGCCTCTCAGTCTGCTCCAGGCCAGACCACTACTGCTCAAGAACCAGCCCCTAGTCAGCCAGACAACTCTCAAAAGACGGCACCAGAGGCAGGCACCAAGAAGGGAAAGGGCAAAGGGAAAGGGAAGGAGGCTGTTCCAGAACAACCGCCAAAGAAACTTTGCAAGGACATGACTGCAGAGGAAAAAAAAGCGGACGACGAGAGAAAGGAGAAGGCAAAGTCATCTAAAAAATTCTTTAGCATTCCAACCACAGGAGGTGAGCTTCTTTAATCTGGTGTCACCGTCCATCTGGTAGCTGAACTGACATGTTGCTCTCTGGCACCAGCTCTCCTTTCAGGTATTTGGGACATGAGCAAGGTCATGGCCTCGGCTGACCAGTACCAGCGAATGATTGACGATTCAAAGTGCACTCGTTGGGACTTTGGACCGGAACTCTTGCTAAAGGTACGACAAATGATCGAATGGTCGAAAAACGATACTTATCGGGAATCATTCTATACGCGCAAGGACCTGTTCCAACTCGAAAGTTCAACAGTCCAAGTCCTCGGGGTGCTTTCGGGCAGGCAATACAAATCTTGTCTTCATAAAGGTTTGTCTGTTTTTCATCTCTCGCACTGCTCAGGTGGCCATCTTTCTGACACTCTGGCCTAATGGTCTTTTCTTCCCTGTAGCGGTTAGGCTCTTTCAGGTCGATGCAGAAGATCCCTTCTGGAAACCTGCAGTGGTCAACTTCAAACTGCTGAAAGAGGGATTCGAATCGAAAGAAGATGACAAGGCTCATGCGTGGTCGGTCATAGGGTCAATGATGTGCCGGATGGACGATTCTCACGAGTTTACACCAGATGGGCCAACATCAAAATTGATCTCCTATGGACAATCACGGCTGGCGACATTGGCGGCCAATTCGTACAACCAGCTGCACAAGTTTACTGTCATGGGCGAACCACAAGCAGAAACTGGAAATAAGGAGGACGACATGCTAGCTTCGATGTCTAATGCCGGCAAGTACATCATTGGGAAAATTAGGTGCCTCAAGGCAGGCGCGGCACAGACAACCGGGTCCAACTCACGTGCTGGGAACGGCTTCTTGGTAATTCAAAGACGGATCTGGGAAACACTTCTTTGTATCCTCATGATGCAGCAGTCTCGTTTTCTGGAGGAATGCGCAACACTGAAGGCAGGCCACATTCGGGAAGATGAGGTCGCCAAGCTGACAGAGGACATGGTAGCCAACGACTGCGGACGATCAATCTTTGACAAAGGTGATATCACCACAGAATTGACAGACAAGCAGAGAAAGGATTGGGGTAAACTTCGACTCGGAGCGTTCGGTTCAATGGCGGTTTATTTTCTTTACGGCGCAGCTGGATGGTGGCATTGCCTCTATAACAACAGTGCATACAATCAGAAGGATGTTTGGTCTCTGGTAATGCTCGCTCACGCTAGACACGAATACTTGTACACGGATGGACGATACGCTCTCAGGGCCCCCGAGTGCACCCCCTGGTACACAACCGACAGCTTCATCCGTTTCGTACTCCGCTCGGCTAATGTCACCCAAAGTGATCCCTTCAAGATGGACTGGGACATTGCTCCCCGAACTTTCAACAAGTGGGTCACTGATGAGAATATCGCACGATTCGCTTTACACGATATCCTGAGGGAGTGCAACTTGCCCGGTCGATCGCTCAACCTGGATGGTAATCCGGCTCCGCCGATGACTTTGCCGGAGGCACAGGAGGAGGAGGTTCGCCAGATCACAGAGACGGTTAGATCGGCTTGGGACCCCGCGGTGGCACAGCATCTCATCACGTTGGACGAAGCAGAGATGAGTCCAGATGTCTCAGCGGCTGATGCAATGCGTGGCCTTAGCATTGATCAATCTCAGCCGGCTCAGGGGACTTCTGGTTCGCAACGACCACCAGACTCCCAGAAGGATAAAGAACCCACGCCACCACCAAACGCCCAGCCATCATCAGCCGCAAACAAAGAGAATCCAGCTCCCCCCAGCAGTGATCAGTCCGACTTGCCAATCCCCCGCCGCTCAAAGAAAAAGGCACCCAGGCAACCCTCAACCCCTCCGAGCGAGCCTCAAGATTCCTCAGTTGGTTCAGGAAAGAATAGACAACCAACTCCTACGCAGTACTCTGACGATGAAGAAGAAGATGAAGATGAAGAGGAAGACGAAGACGGAGACGAAAGTGCAGAGGAGAGAAACCGCAGGAGGAAAGAGCCCAAGTTTGTGGATGTGGTGGCTGGAGTGGATTAGTTGTCTTTGTTGTTGTTTTCTTTCTTTCTTTTTGGTCGTTTTGTTTTACACTATGCTGTGTTGGAGTGGTTGTTCTGGCTTGCCTTTCTTTTCATGATGCTTGGCTTATCGTTCTTTTTCCTTCCTGTTGGGCTTTTGCCTTTTCTGCTTGTCACTGTGTGGAAATTCATTCTCCTTTCTGCCTGCTGTGAGTTCTCCTCTATGCTGCCTAAAGCAGCTTGGTCTGGTGAGGCTGTGTCCTCAGGTGGCAGGGTGTGATGGGTTTGACTTCTAATGTCCCCTTGTCTAAACTCCTGAGACTCGTGTGTGCTGAATTCTGGTCTCAATTTGCAAGATTGACCTCCCTTTGGGAAAAGTTCAGCTCCATCAAGAAGCTGATTTGTTGTTCGTTTTGTCCTGGCAGGATGGCCCAGGGTGTTGAAGATCTATTATCTGTTTTGCTCTCTTGTGCTTTTTTGGTATTTCATTGTTGCAATCGTTGGCTGTATTAAATCATGGGTGATTATTTGTTTATTCTGGTAGCACTATCTGGAAGTAAGTCTCACATCCCTGTGGGCATTGTTTGGCTTGATTGAGTGGTCAGAGGATCATTGGATTCGGATTTGAAACTCTCACCTCTCATGTAGTTATTGTGGCCATATGATATTGTTGCTTATCTGACTGACACTATCTGGGACTGGTTTTCCAACTTGGACCTCCCTGTGAGCAAGCTTCGCCTCTATTAACTAGTTGATTTTCGCCTCTTGAATGAGTCTGATTGAATTCTGGTTTGGCATTTCTCACGTTGTGGAACTGCTCAGCAAGTGAGTAAAGAGCTTGGAGGGGATAAAATAGCTAATAAGACTATAGAATAGTAGAATTAGTATCTGTGTGTGGGTGAGACTGCCCTCCTGTCTAGCTTGCGGGAAAGTTACACTAAGAAAAATAAGAGTGTGGCTTATTTCTAAATTTATCTTAGTGTTGATACTACTGTTATTGTTGCTTAAGAATACCTGTTGGAGAGGTAAGGAGTTTGTGGGGTTTTCTGGGTAATAAGGGTTTCTGAAGGGTTTCTCTGTTATAAATTCTCTCTGGTCTCTGGTCTCTCTGGGCTCTGATAAAGGGTATGCTTATTTCTCTGCTATCTGTTGCAAAAGAGTTGAGGATGGCTAAGCAATATCTCTGAATTACTTGTCTAGGGCCAAAATTGAGGAAAGGGGAGTTCAAGGGCTCTAATATTCTCTGGATCTCTTAATAAAAGGGTGATGAAAGCTAAGTAATATCTCTGATTACTATTCTGTAGCTAGCATCTGGTTTTGATGAGTGCTAAGTAATATCTCTAATTACTCCTCTGGTGCAAACATCAGGAGGGAGAAAGCAAAACATGAGCCAGAGGAGCCTCTATTTATAGACAAATGGTTCTGCAGTACATGGGTTTTTGGCCTGAACACAAGTTCGTCTGTGAAGGGTACTTCTAGAGTGGTTTTTACTACTCTGAGATGGCCTAATCTGATATGAATTAATCTCTAAGTGCCTTTCTGATACAAGAGGTTGTAAATCTACTATATGAGGCCTATTCTTAGATTATTTAATATGAGAATGGTATTCTTAGACTAATTAGTATAAGAGTTATTTTCTGGAACTAGTCTGTGAAGCCCTTTCTAATCAGTAGCTTGTTTTACTAGTCTAAGATGAATGTATTATAGTTCTACAGGTTATTTTTATAATTTTTATTCATGGGAAATTGAATATCTTGAGCCCAGTTTGTGAATTAATTAACTACAATTTAGCCCAGCAATATTTATGTGGTTTGTTTCCTAACCTATTCCCTTCCCTCTAGTATTCTAACTACTATGTATATGTAATAAGGTGTTTTTAATTATGGGCTATGGGTTTGATCATTCTCACCACATCCTCCCCCAACTTATTTGTCTGTCCTCAGACAAGCTCTCTGAATTGAAAATAAATCAGATTTTATATACGTAGAATTCTTTGAGAAGAAGAAAAGAAAAAAAAGAAGATATATATGGGAAAGAAATTAGATTCTCAATTATATCCCAGCCCTGCAGTCTTGAAAGTCTTGTCTGAATTTTTGACATTTGCTCCAGCTTTATCTTCAGTTTTCATTCATGAGAATTTAAATTTTTAAATTTTTCAGGCCAAAGCACGGTTTTCTTATGCCTTTATCGTTTGTTGAGTTTACTTCTTGTAGCCGGATTCTGTTTG